GATTATCATGCAATCACTCTAAAAGCATAAATAGAGCTACAAAAGTAGGGAGAATGTCACTATGAACATCCTAAGTTACTATATATTCCCAATTGCCATGTCAAACTTCATGGGAGAGCAAATAATTTGGCAAACAATAATCCTCACCCCCACTAAATACTAAAAGAAAGTATGTACTATCTTGGAGAGAGTTGGAGTCTATTTTAGGAAGCATCCAAGTCATGCTTGAATTAACACAAGATAGTCACCACTACATTGTCATCCTCTTCAACTTGGGCGAGGGAAAGCTAGAGAGAGGTTCAACGGTATGGGACCATGTGGTAGAGGGACGGTCCAACGCTGGGAAACATCCAACCTCAAAAGATGGAACCGACCAGTGCAAGACGGGAAAGAAACACAACAGAATAGTTCTAGAAATTCTGAAATTCGGGGTTACGACCGTCGAATATTCAATCAAGCCTCCGTGTATTTCTTCACCAACTTTCTGGAGGGTTGGAAGCATGAACACATGTGGCATACTTTTCATAAGTATGGAAAAGTCCTGGACATCTACAGCCCCATGAGGAAATCCAGGAAGGGGAGCAGATTTGGGTTTGTCAGATTCTTGGATGTCAGAAATGAGAAAGATCTCATTTCTCCAACTTGATCAGATTCGAGTGGGGGAATTCACATTATGGGTTAATAAACCAAGGTTTAATGAGCAAGAGAAGCAGTTAAGAGTAGCCCAGAGACAAAAAGAGAATGCAGGAATCAGAGGTCATAGAACTTTTGCTGAAGTGGTAAAGGGAATCAATGGAAGTGAAGCAAAACTGGAGAGTAAGAGAGCAGCAAATGGAGCAGAAGAACACGACCAAACACAGATCAACAATCTATCCAAGTATCCGAAACAAGTTTGGAGAGAAAAGGACATGGAGCAGGCTAAGGCAAGTATGAGCTTCACCGTCCAGGAGGAAGAGTATGCTTGGCTTCAAGGCTGCTATGTGGGGATTGCCCACTCAGTTGAGATAATCCCAACATTACAAGAAAAATTCTTCATGGAGGGATACTTCTCATGTAGAATAAGAGCCATAGGCGGACGTCTGGTCCTACTTGAGGGTGGAGATAAGGAGGAGATTAAAGATTTAGTAGAGCTTGCTCCAAAATGGTTGGAACAATGGTTCACAGAAGTTCAACGGTTGCAAGGGAGAGATTTGTATGGCTTCGATGCCAAGGAGTCCCTGCACACGTTTGGGGGCCTAACTTCTTCGCTACAATTGGTACTGTGTGGGGAAAGTTCATAACTTTGGATGACAGTACTAGCAAAAAACTGAGGTTTGACGTAGGAAGAATGCTGATATCAACCCCGGTGACGGATTTCATCTCCAAAAGTATCAACATCTCGATCAACGGGGAACTTATTTGATCAAAGTAATGGAGGAAGAGGCTCCCAACGGAATTTTCTCCATGAAATCCGACCAGGTGTTCAGGGAATTGAGCGACTCCGATGATGGTTCTTCGGAATCCTGGTCATTAGATGACGATGTGGATGAAGAAGCAAGTGTGGCGTTTTTGGGTGGTGGGGAAGTAAATGGTGGCTGGAGTTCCACCAGTGGGAAAAAGGGTGACGATGACATGGAAGTAGAGGATGAGATGACGGAGGAAGATGACAGAGATGAACAGCCACCTTACCGTTGGTCACAAGAGCGTCAAAATACAAATGGTGCTCAACTTTCGGCAGTGAATGACATAGCATTTAATGCAGCCGATTCCCAAGACAAGCAACAGACTAACGAAGATGACAAAATTCAAATTTGCTGCACCAGCAATCATGAAAAATCCATAGCTAATTTGGAGATTGTGCCGGATAGTCAGGGCACACAGATTTGTCAAAATAAGGATTGGCAGAGGAAGTGGGTAACGGAGGGGCCTCTAACGATGTCTAGCCCACTGGAGGATGACCCATTAGAGAATAATGACAATTGGGCCACAAATAACCACAGGCCTCCAAAACAAGATACTTTCAAGTCCGGCAGTAGCAAACCCATTAATAAAGAAATGGACGTGCAGATACAAAAGGATGGGTCCATTTCAACAAATATGGAAAGCATTATCAAAGGGACATCACCCCAAAAAATTCAACAAGAAGTGAGGAATAGAGCAACATCAACAGAATGTCATAATACAGAGTAGGAGTCGTCCTTCTGGAAGGGGTTCAGGAGCGAATCTGGAGAAGAGCGGGAATGGATGGGCAAAAATCAGAGGAAACCGAAACTCAAGAAGAAGAAGAAAACCAGATCCTGCCTCTCAGTGTATATGGAGGGAAGAAAAGAGGAGTAGGAGCACAATTTGAAAGGGAGGAAGAAAATTCCAAAAGAAAGAACAATGGAAGAGAAGCTGCCAATATTTGTACCTAGACTCCGAAATCAAGCTGTAGGAGAATCAGTCACTGACAGCGGCATCGAAAACAGAAACGTGGCTCTGCGAAATGCTCCGGATCTGAGAATTGCGGAGAGAATTTGGGCATTCGCAAAGGAGATCAGAGTTGGCGATCATGGCAACGAAGCAGAGGTGATTCAGAAACTCAGGGATATGGAAGAACGCGATAGGGAGTTGCACAGAACCTCAAAGGTTAGTAAAGTCGATCTAGGGGGGGAGGAGGTTACTAATCTTAAATGATTATCTTGTTAGTGAACATTAGAGGTTTAGAGGGTGAGGGCAAGAAGAAAGGTATTAGAGAGTTAGTCGAGAAAGAAAAAGTGGAGTTTTTGTCAATTCAAGAAACAAAGTTAGAGGGGGTAGATTATCAGATATGCAGAAACATTTGGGGAGGAGATAATTTTGATAGGGTATCAAAACCATCTAGAGGTGCGGCTAGAAAGCTTTTATGCATTTGGAATTGTGACATAATGAAAAAAGAAAGAGTAATCGAAGGTGAGAGCTATGTGGGGATATATGGAACTTGGGGGGCCTCTAAAATCCCTGTACACATTCTTAACATTATTGCACCCTGTGATATGATGGGTAAAAGATCCTTGTGGGTTAGTATTAAAGAATTGATGATTGAAGCAGATGGTAACTGGTGCTTGATGGGAGACTTTAATGCCATCAGAAGTGAGCAAGAACGGAAGGGTGGGAGAGCAAATAGGAGGGAAATGATAAAGTTTGATGAGTTTATTAGAACATGTGGCCTCATTGACCTCCCCTTAATTGATCGAAAGTTTACATGGTATCATTCAAATGGATCTGTTATGAGCAGGCTAGATAGGTTTTTGTTGTCATAAATTGGTGCCTCAACTGGGGTGATGTCAAACAATGGGGGCTGAAGAAAGCAATGTCAGACCATTGCCCTATTTTGTTGAAGAATCAAATAATTGACTGGGGCCCTAAACCTTTTCGATTCTTCGATGTGTGGTTCGATTCACCGGGACTTAAAGAGCTAGTGAGTGAGACATGGAAATCAACAGTGATATCGGGATGGCATGGATACCGATTTAAAGAGAAGATGAAGGAAACGAAGAAAGTTTTGAAGGAGTGGAGTAAAACAATGGTGTCGGAGACGGACCTCATCATTAAGAAATGCAAAGACTCTATTGCGGATATTGATATCAAAGGGGAGACGGCAAATTTGAATGATGATGATGTGCATCTAAGAAGGAGCAGTTTTCTGGAACTTTGGAAACAACAAAAAGTGAAGGAAAGCATGTGGCGTCAAAAAGCAAGGACAACATGGATCAAAGATGGAGATGCTAATACAAAATTCTTCCACAAGTGTGTTAAGGGAAGAAGGAGATGGAATGACATTGTTAGCTTACAAGTGGGAGACAAACACATGGAATAGGTGCAAGAGATCAAGGAAGGTGTGGCAAATTACTTCAAGATTTTGTTCACAGAAGAAAGGTGGCAACGACCTCATCTCGATGGAATTGAATTCAAAAAGATATCAGCTGAAGACAATTCCTTTTTACTTGCTCCCTTCAATGAAGAAGAAGTTAAAAGGGCAGTATGGAGCTGCGGATGTTCTAAAGCACCAGGGCCAGATGGTTTCAACTTCAAATTTATTAGAGAAATGTGGGACACGATCAAAGATGACATGATGGGTTTTGTTGATGATTTTCACAAAAATGGGAAATTGGTCAGAGGAGCGAACAACTCCTTCATTGTGTTGATACCCAAGGTTATGAACCCCCAGAAAATTGAAGAGTTCAGACCCATTTCTCTAATCAGTGTCATGTACAAGGTGATTGTAAAGCTCCTCGCAAATAGAATTTGCTCAGTTCTGGATGGTATTATTGGAGAAAATCAAATGGCCTTCATTAAAGGTAGACAAATGGTTGATAGTATTGTAATAGCAAATGAAACAATCAATGAAGCGAAGAGGAAGAAGAAGGCTAGTTTCTTGTTCAAAATAGACTTTGAGAAGGTGTACGACAAGGTCTGTTGGGAATTCCTTGATTACATGATGTCGAGGATGGGGTTTGATCCAAAATGGAGACGGTGGATTAACGAATGTCTGAAGACGACAGAAGCGTCGATCTTACTCAATGGTAGCACAACTAGACAAGTCAAAATTAACAAAGGACTCAGACAAGGCGATCCACTCTCACCTTATGTATTTTTGTTGGTTGCGGAAAGCCTCAATGGCATTATCTCTTCAGCAATCAACCATGGACTGTTTGACGGAATTGATATTGGTAGTAAAGGTTTGAAAGTGTCCCATTTGCAATTTGCGGACGACTCGATCCTATTTGGGAAAGCTGGGGAGGACAACATATGGGCAACAAAGAGTATATTGAGAATCTTTGAATTGGTATCGGGTTTGAAAATTAATTTTGGGAAAAGCCAACTTGTAGGAATAAATGTTTCAGAGGGATGGATGTCAAAAATGGCCCACATATTGAATTGCAAGCAAGGAGCATTTCCATGCAGATATTTGGGGGTTCCAATAGGTGACAGTGTGAAGAAGATTTCTCTGTGGAAACCACTAATTGAATCTTTTGAGAAAAAATTAAGCAATTGGAAAAGCCAGTTCCTTTCTCTTGGCGGAAGGATTACAATCCTTAACGCAGTATTGTCCAGCCTCCCAGTGTATACCATGTCTGTGCACCTACTCCCAAAAGGTCTGATTCTTTCCTTAGATAAAATCCGCAGGAGCTTCCTATGGGGGGAGGGGGGAGCAAGAGAAAAATCAACTGGGTATCATGGGACAAAGTTTGTAGCAACAAGATGGAGGGTGGGCTAGGTGTCAAAGATCTCAGAAAATTCAATCTAGCATTATTGGGAAAGTGGTGGGGTAGACTTGCAAGTGGGGAGGAGAGTCTATTGTACAACACTATCCAGCACAAGTATGGTTGTTTGGAGGGTAGATGGATGGATTGGGTGTAGGTGGATGTCCAAAGGGGATCTCTATGGTGGAGAAACTTATGTAGGATTGATGGTATGGATCCAAGCAATAGAGGATGGCTATCATGGGGTTTTAAATTGAAGCTTGAAGACAGGCAGTATGTCAACTTTTGGAAGGATGTGTGGACAGGAGATCAATCCCTTGTCAATAGATTTCCTCAATTATACCTTGCTTCCTCAAATAAAGATAAGAGAATCTACCAAATGGGATTATGGAGGGAAGATACCTGGCAATGGACACTCCATTGGAGATGATCGTTGTATGAGTGGGAGAAAGACAATCTCACCGAGATGCTGGGACTAATCAACAACTTACACCCAATCAAAGACCAAACAAACCACTGGGAGTGGAAACACAACAAAGAAGGAGAATACTTAGTTAAAACAGCTTATGGTCTTCTATCCAATAACAACGACAACAGCAGAACTCAGATGCATAAAAGGACATGGAGCAAACTCATTCCCACAAAAATCAGTGCATTTGGTTGGCAAGTCCTACAGAATAGAATACCCACAAAGCTCAACCTGTATCAGAAGGGAATTATACCTGACAATAGCCTGATGTGCGGCTTGTGTGGTGATGACATTGAAGATACCAATCATCTATTTATTCATTGTAGAGTGGCTCACTCAGTAAGAAGCAATGTGCAAAATGATGGAGGTTTCTCACGGCTCACCCAAAGACATGCCAAGAGGACTTCGAGCAGCACAGGCCTCCCATAAAAGATTCATCAGTACAAGCTGGATGGGATGTGGTATGGTTCTCCACCTTATGGTCTCTTTGGATGGCTAGAAATAGAAAAATCTTTAAAAACCAAGTATGTGAAGAGGAAAGAATTTTTGAGCTAGTGCAACTAAGAGCTTTTAGTTGGATTAAGAGTAGGACAACGGGTTACTCCTTTAATTTCTATGAATGGATGCTTGAACCGTTGTTAAGCCTTAAGGCCAAACGAAGTTCACTATAGCATGATTTAATTTGTTGCGGGTTCCTGGCATGTATCACTGAGCAGCTATTTGACTTTGGCCATTTTATTTTGCTGGCACTATTTTTGGTTAGTCGAAGTCAGTGGATGCTCAGTATCTGCCTCTCATGTACACGGGTAGCAGTACCCCTTGTACTCCATTAAATCAATTTATCTTCTTTGCTGTGCAAAAAAAAAAAAAATCCTCTTCAACTTGGGCAAAACCCAATGAAAACTACCAAAAGAGCCCAAGTAAAAATCTCAAAAAAGAAGAGAAACTCGAGAAAGAACCCCAAAGAGGGAGAAACTCTCAATAGTTTCTCAATTTT